TCTACAGTTCCTGCCGAAGCCAAATCTTCTAATGAAAAGCTTACTGTTCAGATAGAAACTTGAGTATTTGTAAGACTAGGCACAACTCCTACACATTTCTACTGGTTACATTTTCATGGAGCTGGGTGGAAGGACCAAAAAACTTGTGCCCAGGCAATTCCTGGTGCCAGGTGTTCCTCACTGGACTGCAGAGCTGGTGGGTCTCAAGTACCTGGCACAAGAAGGCCAAACACCCAAGAAGAGCAGGTCCTTGCATGATGACCCTGCCATGCCTTCTTCCAGCACCTGAACAGCTTTGCAAGGAGAGGAGAGAGGACAGAGAACCTATAGTCACCTTATTATCTACCATGCTATTTACCTCAGGCACAGAGGAGCTGGTCTTGAAATTGTTGTGGCAAGGAACGGAAGAGCCAGGGTGGTCTCTTGGCTTCTTCACAGGCAGCTGTACCACAGACTGGCCTCTCCCCAGGCAGCAATACCAGCTGGTGATAATTTTTTGCATCACTCTCCCCCACAGTCTCAGACCAAGTGCTGCTCTCTCACCAGCTGGTCTCCAATCCAGGTACCCATCAAGGCCTTTTCCAACTAGTTTGAAGCAAACAGGTTCTAACTGAGCTAACAAGCCACCATCTAAACAGTGTCAGTCCTAAACATGTGCTTATTTTGCAGCCATTACTCAGTCCACAAGTACTACAAAGTATGATGGCGATTAATGGCAGTTTGGTCCGTTACCATAAATATCTGAATGTAAATAACATTTTATCAGAATGCTTCAGTTAGGCACTCAAACCTGTTATTGAATGAAAATGTTTTCGTACATTGCATTGTTGTCGTCTATTTCTATTCTTTGCATCAATCCTGACACTATTAACATTCAAAACAATCAGTCACCAGGCTTATTTCAACACCTTCAGTGTATGTAGCCAAGCTCAGTGGTGTATTAAGAATAGAGCAAAAGGTGCAAATCACCACTATAAGTGATTTTTAGCCAAAATTCTGGTCAAATTGCTAGCATTTTTCCCAGAGAAACAATATCAGAATACAAGACTAGGTATTTGATATTACAGTAAGATTGGTAATACTGTATTTCATGTACTCCTTCATTATAAAATAATTTTGCATTCTAATTTCCAGCTACACCTCATTTGGTGTTCCTGTGGATGTCACATATGCCTTGTATTTTCTTAGAACTGCATTATTATTCAAAATTAATTATCTTTCCAATTAATGTGTGGCATAATGCTGTAATACAAAATGCTTACATTTTATAAATAAGAATGTGCTCATTTCTGTCTGCTTTGATCCCATTTTACCTTTATTGAAATTTGGTAATAGAATTCTCTTCATTTTGGGTTGTCTTATTGACACTGAACACACACAGGGGAGCCATCTCCTGCATATGAAAGATAAATTTATGCTTCTCTTTACTGGACAACCTCCCATTTCTCTTTTTCAATATCACTTCAATATACTTTTCTACTCTATGATTTTTACTGATCTTATAAGCAAAACTGAGATGAAAAAGTACTAATGGAGTACCTTTTACCCATTACCGTTAATGTAGGCATAATAAATACCTATAACTGCTGAAAAATGGTAAGTGTGAAGGAGATGATTGGCAATATAAAGGAGAAAAAAAAAAGTCAAGGAGTGAAGAAAGCTGGACAATCTGACACATTCCATAAATGCTATTTAAAATTTCACTGCTGAATACCATAATAAAAAAGTACAAAAAGGAAAACATAAACAAAGAAGAAACATAAATATAAAAGATAAATCCCAAATTTATCTCTAAATGCTTGTCTGAAAGAATATGTGACTCACAATTTTCTGTCCTGAGGAGTTTCATTTTTCTGTTGGGTCGGAGTTTTTCTGTTTAACTGTTGTCAATGGCTACAGTCACTGTACACTACTGAATTTAGCCCTGCAATGCCAACATCCCTAAGTACCTCCCAGGGCAGCACTGCACCCCCAATGTGAAGTGCTCTGGCAGAAGACACAAAACCTCCCTTTCTCCACTGAGGGATTCATCTCAGCACCGTATTTAACTTTCTTTCCTGTTGCCCAGCTGCATGCTTTTTAATAGAACAACGCAGAAAGCTACAAATAAATTAAACGACACTCACACTTGCCAGTCTTACACTCAGCATTCTTTAAAGCCTATCATTAGCTAGTAATTAGTGAGCATGTGAATATGTAATGAGAAGAGTGTACAGATAAGACAAAAGGATTCAAGAATGTCACATCTAAAGTAGTCCCTCAGTTATCTAAACAAACCCAGTCTGAATAGCTTTGCTGGCCAAAAGCTTTGGTGTGTAAATATTTAAGAGGTCCGGGGTGGATCCAGATGATCTTGTAATAGTATCTCTTCTTGAACTGTCCTGAAGTACTTCATTATAATCTTAAATTGAGAAAGAAGGTTGTTTAAGTGGATAGGCTTGCTGCTACACATTGTCAATAATTAACAACCTCATTAACAGGCATTAGAGCACCTGTTTCACCATGATCCCAATGAGAAGCTTTTGAACTTCATTTCATTAATTGCTTAGCAATGACACTGACTTACTGCTGTAGCAGGACGATTACACCTGAGGCAAATATCCAAGGAACAGAGCTGCTTTCTCCAGCTAACACATAAAGCTCATAGAGAACATGAGTCTGAGATAGGTCCATTAGCCTGAAACTTAAAGATGTTTGCTACTAACCCACTTCAGAATCCTGATGTTGTTTGGTTTTGTGTATTTTATTTCGAGCTTATACCTAGCTGGTACCTTGCTTACAGGCTTACTCATTTAAAATAATTATCGCAGCTGTTGATTTTGAAAACAATTTCGCTTCTCACCTTGTTTTTTCTTCCCACATGGTGTGTTCCCCTTTTTTTCAGGCAGTCATTTTAGGTAGACAACCTAAAGACTGCAGGATTATCCATCATAATTACATATTTTAAAGATAAAAGTGATCTTAATTACCTACCCTTCCTCTCCCTCTTTTCCTTCTAAAGGAAGTCTTGTGTTTATTTTCTCCTACCAGTACTTAACATAGGAATGTGAGATAGAGGAATAAGACATTAAAGAACAACAGCAGGATGATTTTTGCTCTGACAGAGTTGTATGCAAAGACAAGACTTTCTCAGCTCTGTGTCGAAGTGAACGTGTCTTAATCATTTCTGTCACTGGCAGACTTTTAGCAAGGGAGCCCCATTAGCACTGAATGACTGGGAAATTGTTGTGATTTATTAAGAGTTAAGAAAGGGCACAGCAGAGTATCTCACAGCATCCATTTGTGTTAATGCCTGGAGGGCTTCATACCTTTGCAAGGCTGAGAATTCAGATATGTGCTTTACTCAACTTTGTTGTAGCAAAGCCTCTTTTGGCCAAGGCATTTACCATGATTAAGAAAATTATTTCTCAGAGTGAAGCTCCTAAACCTCTAAAGAGGAAGGAAGCAAAGGAAGAAGAAAGGAGCATAGGGTGAAGTCTGCCTCCAGAGACCTGTGCCTCGGGTTTCTCCGGGCCGCAGCACTACAGACACGCCGGGCAGCCTGCGAGCAGCCGCCGTTCCAGACACACTGCCACGTGCATGGAAAGGACTGCAGGATCCTTTTCTCCAGGACTACAAGAGAACGCAAATGTCAGTTGCTCCAACCAAAAACCTGTATTTGACCTATCAAGCTGGGTAATTCAGGTTTCTCCTCCTTATTTTTCTCTTCCCCCATCACACTCCCTCTCTGTTTTCCAGCCCCTCCTTCCCTGCTGTAAACTGTAATACCACATAAACATGCACGTTATGCTTTAGGTTTCAAAGTAAGTGACCATTGCACAAGCATGTAACCAAAATAGCATTTTCATACACTCCCCTCTTAAAAGTGTCACCTGCTTTTTGACTGGCTGAAGAAAACTCTTACAGGTTCTCACCCACACTCATAAAGGTATATTACACTGGGGGTATTTCCACTGTTTACTCCATTTTTCCAAAACTTAAGATGATACCAGTAAGACTTATAACCTCCTCTACTGGCTATATTAGCATTTATGTTGGCATTAGCCACATACTCCTTCTCTGAGTAGTTTTACCTTCTTTTTGGAGATAAAGGAATGCCTCTGATGACAAAATAATGAACTGTCAAAAACTGATTTTCAACAGATCTCCCAAAGAAAGACTTCAGACTCAAAAGCAGCCCCTTATCAGACCATTTGGTTGTCTTGTGCGCACCAGCCTTCTGGCAACATCCAATTCAGCTCTGGACAGTAGCACTGGCTCCTCCATGCGCCTTTTCGACCTCTCTCACTTCTCCCTCAGCCTTTGCTGAAGTTAAGCAACAAAGCAGGTCCCATGTAGAAGTGGGACTGCAGTCTCTGTAAGGAAGTTCTGATGGAGCAGTTCCTTCAGTGCTCAAGACGAGATCTCACATTATGAGATACCACATTACCAGGAAAGAAAAACAGAATCAGTGAAAAGGGGAAATAATTTCTACCACTCAGTTCCTTTACATTTCCCTGCCATTTATCAACACACAGAAAGTGATAAAACATAATTACAATAAAACATTTTGAGATTTCATTTTATTCTGAAATACTACAAAACAGTTTAAAAATCAAACGTCACTTAATGATTGTTTAGAAACAACTCTTGGAAAATCATTTCAACATAGTGAATACCTATTCAGTGATTTCAGCAGGTTCAACTAATGCATACCCATTTCAAAAAGGATTCTACCAAGGAACACTGTATCATGGCTAAAAATCAAATTAAAAAAAAAAAAAAAACAAGATGAGGTAAAAGAACCACAGATCATTTAAGAGGATGCAGTGAACTCAAGAGGATCAACTGAATAAACAAGGATTGCTCGTGCAAGTTAAGATCAAATAGACAGGTCTGCAAATTGCAAGATATTTCAAATATTTCAGATTGGATACTTGTCCTAATTCCTTTTTGATTTCATAAAAGTGAATGAAAAGCAGCCCAGACATGAGATGTTTTTCTGTAACTCTAATTCAGACCTTGCAGTATACATCATATTTTAACATTGCTCCCAGCTTAGTTCCTCCTAAGCACACTTGGAATTTGGCATCCATTTCCTGGTTCTGAGCTTCAGTGAAAAGATTTTTCCAGTCCCCAACAACACCTGCAATATAAAGAAAAGCAAAATATAATCCTAGATTATAAGGACCATATGACTTAAAGCAAAAACAAACAAACAAACAACTGCAACAACTCCATCTCCCTTCTATATTTTAAGATAATCCACTTTTTTTTTTTTTGCCAGAAAAGAACCTTTGACCCAAGAATACACTCTTCAGCTTTTCATTTGGTGTCTTCAATAGAAGGTGAGCACAGAGAGCATACGAAGCTGCTGGTCTGTCTGCCTTGACAGCTTTGGCACGTGCCTTGCACACACACAGAAGACTCTAAAAACTGACTGTTGGTGATGAAACCAACCCAGAAAGCTCAAAGGCATGACTTTCAACTGCAAGAGCTTAGTGCACTGCAACTAGACACTGTCCTGAGCTGCAGTCTAGCCTTGATCCACATTTTGAAGAGCTGTCTGAAGTTGTCCAGGTCTAGAGCTCCAGCTTGATCCATAGTTAAAAGACATGGCTCAAACTGTGGAGTCTCTGGGCTATTCTAGTAGTTACAGAAAACAAAAAAAGGCTTTGTTTCACTTTAGTTCATACTACTGTATATACCACGACTGAAAGATGTGCTACCTATAGGATACTTCTGATGATCACATTATACAGGGCTCTCCCTAAATGATACTGACTCTTGTCGTGAAACCAAGTGACAGTGCCCTGAAACACCATCAGTGTTTCCTAAACAATTTATAATCTTGAAAATTATACAGGAAGACTAATCATTTACCAATCCAAATTCTCATCTGCTCATGTTTGTTTGCCATGAACAAATTTACCTTTTCGGAAGAGAACTGAGCCAACAGGACCATGCGTCTCCTGAGCCTTATCCTTCACCGCCTGGAAAGTGGCCCTGTCGGCAATAGACTGAATCTGCTCAGCCGTTGAGGAGAATCCAAAGAATTCAGCTATCCGCTTCACGCTGGAAGTTAGGTTCTGAAAGCAGGACAGTGAAAGAGGGTAATATGACATGCTTCCCTTAAAAAAGGGGTAACCCTCTTGGGATACACATAAACCACAATCTTTTCCTTCATAATACGTTTTATACAATGCACTAGAGCTCAGATTTGTACAACCAGACTTGGCTTGTTACTAAAGACACTTGATTTTCATCTCTTTGAAATACCTGCAAAATACCTTTTGCTGTTCATTTCAGCACTTTTCAGGAAATGGATTCAGATGTGTTTTGCCTGTCAGCACACACCACCTGTTTTACCTGTTTCAGGTCTTCATATAATACAACCATAATATTTTCATCCTCAATATGTTTGTTCCATGTGACTGCATGGTCAAAATAGGATCCCCAGCTGACTGTAAAGAAAAGAAAATGCACCTGATCTTCTTTTATTACTGAGCATTAATTTCTCTCTGCTTGAGGAATCCCATCTGTTGCCTATCAGTTTTATCTAAGCAAACAGACCAGCTCTGCCTCCCTGTGCCACCGTACAGTACAACAGAATGATGGAGAAATTCATTGGACTTTTGTAGGCAAATAGTTTCCAAATATGAACTTCTCTGTGTGCTTCTCCTCCATTGCTATACAGTTACTAATGAGAGCCCTTAAAAGCCAAAGGCAGACCCTAGTCTGAACTTAAAATCCGAGTTTCTTATGGGGTGTTGGCATCATATGTGGAAACAGTAATGACAACAAAAAGTTATTTCATTACCTCTTCAGTTCTGTAGCATTCCCTCCATCACTAAGTGACAGAATTTTGGCTTAAAGCCATTATCAAGCTATTGTGCGAGTCCTTATTCATAACGACAAAATGCTCAGAATGAGAGCATCTTTTGGACCTTCTCCCCCTATTCTGTCATTCAGTCACCTCCTCTGCCATGAGATATGGCCATCAGTAAATTAATTATGACACAGCTGCTTTCCCATTAGCCCCACTTAGTTGTTTTTAAGCATGTCCTGCTGCTGCTTCCTCTGCTACATTCAGTGACTGTAACAGTACCTTTCCCGTTCATGAACTCTGAGAAGAACTCATCCCAGGAGCTGTAATTGGGGATACTCGGCGCATTGTTGTGGAAATGGAAAAATGAGACAGCTGTGTCTTTCGGGTTTCGAAACAACACTAATATCTGGAATGGGAGAAAAGAAGTTGACAATTTTAGATTGCTCATTGCCCCAGGCAGCCAAATTGAGAGCAGAACCAAATATTCTGCAATCAATAACTTACTGGGGGTCTTAAAATACTTTATTTTAAGGCATGCAGCACAAATTTATAACACTGCTGTTACAAACGCCCTGGTCATGTCCCAAAGGAAGAAAGGAGCAACAGGAAAGGCTGCAATATTTGTCATTGAATCCTATCCCATAGCTGCCTAAGGCTGGGGAAATTGAAAGGAATCATTTGCCAATCCCCTGCTAGGAAAAGTTCTGTGTGATTCTCACAGCTGTTTTAATTATCTTCTATTTTTCAATGCATGGCAGCAAAGTACATGAAAACCTGAGAGACTGCATCCTTAGACAAGTATAAACACTTCTGAAACACATTACACATAACACAGCAAAAAGTACTAAAAAAAAACGGATAAAATCACCACTTTAACCAATTTCCTTTTGTGTTACCTCCTATATATATCTGCCCATTGCTCAGTGACACAGTGTCAGAGTAGGCAAAGTGCTCCAGTTTTAACAATCTCGCTGTTTGCATGGAGGCAGTCAGTGTCCCGGAGATGCCACTGCCACATTCACTCCTGATGTGGTTGCACAGAAAAAGTGGCATAAAACAGAAAAGTACGACACCCCATTCATTTTTAACCACCGCAACAGCCTCCAGATCTGTTCTTGTTTGTGTCAACTACAGCACCCCTAATGCTGCTGTAAATGTTGGTGGATGCTAAGTCAGCCCAAGGATCATGATACTCCCAGTGTCTCCAAACTGCTTTCCCTCCACGACACCAGCACAGGTGCAAGAAAAGGATGTGGCCCCCAAATTACTCTTGCATGCGAGTACTGTCAGACATATGAGGCACCCACCTTGGCTTTCTTCTTGAAAATAGACTTGGGGAGGCAATCGTAACTCAGATGTGTTGCCAAAATCCTTGGAGACGGAATCTGCTTCATCCTCTTTAGAAACAAGCAGAACAAGGAGTGAGAACAGGTTTATTACATGGGTGCGACAGTGATCTGTGAAAGTCGCCTGTGTGAAACAAATTCTAATCAAAAGCCATTAGTCATCCAAGATTATCCTTTTTTTCCCCTCTCTCTCAGGAGAAATAGCTCTACTTGCTGCATGACTTCATTTTCATAACTGGTTTGTGGGGTGCAGGAGAGAGAAAACAACAGATTGTAAGAGATTCAATAGTTTCTTTTCACTAACCTGGTATTTATCTGGATCGCCACATTCAATAAATGGTAGTTCTGTGCTCACACATTTACTCTGGGTACTTGTAAATATCAAATCACTTACAATCTGGATAAGCCAGTTCACACCTGGACCAGGAAACCCAGAGAACAAAATAAAACATATCAGAGGCTTATATATGATCTCAGAGCCTTCTCATTACACAGTTTAATTCAGCGCAATAGACATTGTCAAATTACAAATATTACCGAAGCTCTCAAATGATTATAAACAAAATAATGTCAGCTGAGAACATTTTCAACAGCTTAACTGTGACTTTCTTGGCTCACTCAAGTGGTATGAGGAAAGCCCAGGGGGGTAACATTGACTTGATGATATACTTAGCATTCTTCTAATAGATTCATAAAACGAGAGTGACAGATAGTAAAGGCAGCAGTGAAAGACACTAAGTCTTTGAGTCTGATTATCCAGGCCCACAGCACCCTCCCTGCATCCTTGTGGATAGGTGCTTGGAAGGTTCCCATCAGGCCCACAGAAATGGAGCAGTAAAGCTGACTCAGACCCCTGCACACTGTGAAGGTTAAAATTCCTAGTCTCTATATTCCCTAGTGGCTTCTCAATGGCTTATGCCTGAGAAGTGCTGCATCCTGCACTGTCCTGCACCCACACCTCCAAGGTTTGTGTCAGCACAGTTTTCTTCTCTGCTACGCACACCTGCATTGGGGAAAACAAGATATATGGTGAGACTCGACTGGAACTTCGCTTAATCCTTCGTATAGAGTAGGAACTAAAAAAATTATTAAAGCTTTGGGAGACTAAATTTTTGAAGGTCCTCAATGCAAGTCCTTCATTGGACATGTTCACTAATGTTTAAAGCAGGCAAGTGCCTGAGGGGCATGAGAAGTATCTGAGAAGCCAGCAGAGGAAGCCAGGTGTGAAGCTGCACTGGTTCATGAAGGAAAGGGGATCACAGGGAGATCTTCAGTGCTGCCTGGTGACAGTGTGGCTTACAGGGTCTGAGCATCACCCCAAGGAAGAACAGGTAGCCCAGCAGTCTCTAATGTGCAGTATTTAATCGTCTCTTCAGTCTTCATCCTCCCCACTTGCCTTATTTTTTCTCCATTTTGCAAGCTACTGGATATTAGGGCAAGAAATCTAGTTAGCATTGTATTTGTATAATAGCAAACACTCAAGCAGGGGAAAATTCCCAAAGAGCAAGATCTGCAAATGGTAACTACACTGTACTGCACAGATGTAGCATTTTCTCTCCCTCCTGCTTCCCCATCTCTTCTGTACATCCACGGCCCTCTGGATAACAGGGTGCCACACTTCCTGGAGACCACAGGGAGCTAAACAACTGGTAATGGACTTTTTGTCCTTGTTAAAACTGCTCAATTGCAATAAACTGCCTAATATTAGAAGTTGGAAACCTCTTTTTAAGCTACTGATGCCTCCCTGAGCTAGAAAAGTTTACTGAATTATTAAACCTCAGATGCAGTTAGGACCATGTTGTATTTTCTGAATTCTTCCAAGCTCCACGAGAAGTCAAAGCCAAAGCCAAGCTATATCAGTGGCCCATTCTCATAGGGTTCAGCAAAAACCCTGCATCCCAGACCACTGGACTGATGGGCTCCATGCAGTACAGATGCATCTTTCACTTGTGTGGCAGTTCCCTCCTTTGGTGCCTGTCCTCTCCATCCATTGGTTCCGTGGTCTGTCCCCCAGCTGCTTCATACTCACTCTGACAGTACAGGCACAATTCTTAAATTACACTAAGCTCTAATTACACTGTATATTCTTTATGGCTCACAACCCAGCCAACAGGAGCATTTCTTTGTGCTCTGCACCTTGCTGAATTAGACCTTAAGACTCCCTGATTAGAGCCTAACAGGACTGCATCAGGTAGGACTTTAGCACAAGGTCTTCTGTAGGCAGCAAACCCTTCTCTCTGGACACCCTCAGCTGGTACCGCTTTGGTCTCAAAGCAGGAATATATCCTTGGAATAGATTTCCTACTGGAGCAGAAATTCCTCCTGGAGCAGAAAGGGGGTATTTTTATCCCCACAGCTTCTACAGTCTCTCTCCTCCTCCTGCGGATTTCAGGCCAAAAGATTTAGTTTTAAAGTACATTGATTCAACGGTGACGTAGCAGTAACTTAATAGTTACTAAAAGAGGCACATTAGTCAAAACAAAAAACAACCTTGACACTGAAAAAAATGCCAATAAAAAGCTTATAACTTTGCAAATAAAGATGCTGTGTCCAGTCACTTCCCATTCATTAAGCGTCTCACGCATAACTTTATTCCTCGCATTCACTGTTACTAACACACTTCCCAGAATGCAGTTTATTACATTGGCAGAGCTATCTTGTCCCACTGATATGTAAAAACTGTACACTTTACTCTCACATATCTTCATCAGCCAACAATAAAAGAACATTTCAGCATGCTAAAACTTTCTCTTTTCAAAAACATAGACCACACACAAAAGAAAGATGATAAATATATAAACTATAATTATAATAAAACAGGATATATGCCCAATAATCCCATATAAATAGAAATACAATCAGTTATTCTTCCTGTTGTTGTGTCAGCTGATTAGCTACAGTATCTCTGACTACGGCAAGTAATTTGTAATGTATTCACCGCATTTGGGGTAAGACACCAGCACCAGATCGTCTCTTCTGGCCTCTAAGTTCTCCAGGGCTTGGAAGGTTTCTGCACTGCACACTGTGACGGGGTAGGGAGTCCCCTGGTAGAGGAACAGCAGGTCCTTGAGGGGAAGCCCTTCTGACTTTGCCATTGCCTTATTTATCTCATCAACAAAGTTCTTCTTCTCAGCCATGTTTACCAGCTGTGGCATGTGAAACTGCAGGTCTAATGCAATCAGTGCCTATAAAGAGGCATTTTGAAGGGGCGGAGCATAAACCCTTGATATTACTCCCACCTTTTCTTTCACCCGCATAAGAACCCTTATAACCTGATATATTTATTTTTTCTTTTGCTCCTCCCTTCCCGGGAACAGAAAATGGGCTGATCCTGCCCATTCTTTATCTAAAGACGAGGAACTGCTTCAATAGAAAACCCCATGGAGAGCAAGAAATAATGGCAAATTCAGGCACCAGGGAAAACAAAAGCTGAATATGAATCTCCCCATGAAAAAGAACACGAAACAGTAAATCCAATCTTACGTAACATTTATAGGAAAAGAATTCTTCCCCTTAAAGAAAAAAAAAAAAAGCCTTAAGAAGAAAAAGCTTAAGTAGTTTTATTTTGGTAATAAACTCGGCCCCATAATAAAGATTAAAAGAAATGGTGAATAACAGAGCAACAAAACCAAAACCATAAAACAGAGACCAATACTCAGAGAGAAGCAGTGGTGTGAACATAGCTTCTAAATACCCAGCATGGGAGCTTTTTCATGTTAAACCAATAAATAGCAGATCTTGCACCGTACATCTTTTTCAGTGCCTTCAGGACAGGATTGGGATCTCATTGTAACGGGCTGGATCTTATGCATCTAAGGACACTTCCCTCCAGCAGGACACCCAACTTC